CTAGAATGGCTGTGAATCTGGGAGGAAAGTTCCCAATGCAGGATATGGTCATTTGCAACTTAACTGAATGTGGAAGGGGCAACCACATCGTCATAAAAATTCCGGCTCCTTTTCTGTAGGCTACAGTTGAGGAGCAGCTACTCAGTCAGAGACTACATTTCCCAGTTACCCTTGCATCTTGTCTGGGTCACGTGACTCATTTCGACCAATAGAAAGTTTGCCAAAGTGAGGTGCGTCTTTCTGGACTGAGGTGGTTAAGGATTCGGTGTGCCATACTTCTTCTTTCCTAGAGGGGGGCCACTGTGAAAGTTTCATGTTGGTGGTAGAAGCCACAATTTGTGGGTGGAGATCACATGTTCATACTGGAGGCATCACAAGATGAAAGAAACCTGGACCACTGGGCAGACAGCCTCCCAAGGTAAATGTACACAGTCAATGGACTTGGTTTATGTGAGGAGTACACTTTGAAGATGCTGAGATATGCTGTGTTTTCCTATTCTAGCAATTGACCTACCCTGCCCAATAATACACTAGATAGTTCAAATGTTTTCCAAAATCCTCTCCCTTGACCGTTTTCCATTTCCACCAGTCAGGGACGAAAGTTTCCTTGCTCCTCATCCTTGTCAACACTTTTTACTAGTCAACATCCTTTTTATTTTGAAATATTTCAAGTGCAACAGAAAAATTGCAAGAAAAGTACAACAAAATTCTATGTACCTTTCATCCGAATTACCAGTCACTCGCATTTTGCTCTTCTTCCTCTCCCTCCCTCCATCTCTCTCTCCATTTTTGCAGAACTATTTCTTTTCTTTTTTAATTTATTGATTTGCAGAGGGAAAGAGAGGAAGAGGGAGAAGGAAACGTCAATTTGTTGTTCCACCTATTTATGCATTCATGCCCTGACTGGGGATTGAACTCACAACCTTTGCATATTAGGGTGATGCTCTAACCAACTGAGCTTCCTGACCAGGGCTGTGTGCAGAACTGTTTCAAAGCAAGTTGTAGACATCAGTCCCTTCACCCTAAATATTTAAGCATGTGTCTCTTAAGAACTAGAATACTTTCTTACATAATCACTATTTATCAAATACAAAAATTGTACACAGATACAACACTATATCTAATATACAGTTTATGTTCCAAGTTCATCAACTGCCCAATCATGTCCTTCATAGCCTATGAAGCCCCTTCCAAGTCCCTTCCCAAACCCCTGCTCCATCCTCACCTCATCTTTCTCTCCATTCTCGCAACACCCATTCCAAGTCTGTCTCCGTCTCAACACCATCCTTATCCTCAGCCTTATCCCCAGTTCCATCTTCATGTCCATATCAACCCCAATTTATTTCATCCCCATCCTCAGCCCCCAGCCCCAGCATCCCCAGGCCTACCTCCTTCCCCCTCTGGTAAGGAGATTCATGGTTTCCCCCAGATGTTCATGTCCTCATTCTTGAAACTTGGGAATGCTTTTACCTTCTGTGGCAAAAGAGATTTTGCGTGTGTGATTGAATTAAGCATCCTGAAAGGAGGAGGTTATCCTGGATTGTCTGGGTGGGTCCAATGTCATCACAAGGGTCTTTAGGAGAGGGTAACATCAGGGAAGTGGAGGTATGATGTTGAAATCAGAAGGGACACAATGCACTTTGGAGATGGAAGGAGGGACCCTAAGCCAAAGAATGCAGGCGACCTCTAGAAGCTAGAAAAGGCAAAGAATGGATTCTCCCCTGGAACCTCCAGCAGGAACCAGTCCTGTTGACCCCTTGATTTTAGTCCCATGAAACTCATTTTGAATCCTGATGCCCATAACTGTCAGATAATGACTGTATGTTGATTTAGGCCACTGTTGCAGTGCTCACACACTCCTCCTCCCAGGCCCTGGCTCTTTGCACCTGCTCTTTAGCTTCCTCTCTTCCCCTGGCCTCAGCACCCACATACCTACATGTCTGGCTGTCCTATTTTCCTAGTCAGCTCTGTGCAGGGTAATTTCCCAAGCTCTCCGGGGCTGGGCGGGGCGTGGGCACCTGGCACTGCCTTGCTTCCTGTGCTCAATTCTCCCCAGAGGTCCAGAAGAGCCAGGTGCTGGCAGTCGTGCCCTGCCCTAGATCTGAGCAGGGAAGAACCTCAGAGTCCATCTGGTCCACCTCCTGATAGCCACTCTATGGGGAAGGCATCAGGCTGGAAGAGGTTGGGAAGAGGGTGTATGTAGGGGTGTATGTATGCTCTCCTGGCCCTCCTAGACAGGAATTGAGGGTCAGGGCTGTGGCTAGAAGGTGGGGTTGTTATTGCTCTGGGGCAATGCAGTCAGGTCAAGCTTTGAATTCAGGTTCTGGGAGCCTTCTTTCATTTCCAAACCTGACATCTTCTCACCTCTCAGAGGATCTCGAAGGTGGGCCTCTGGGCACCTCGCAAAGTCTGAACATGGGTGCATTGGATGCTTTGTAGCTGACAGTAACAGCAACATGAACCTTGTTTCATTTAGCACCAGTTCTGGGCTGAGGCCACATCATGCAAAACCTCAATAGTTTCTAAATTTTTGATGTTCACAGACCATCTTCAGGATTTTCCTATATCCGCCTCACTCCTGAACTCCTATAGACTGAAGGTATTTTGTAAAGTAAAGTTCCCTTCAAAACCTAAACCATTGCTTTTCAAAATGTAAAATATACATATTATGAAATATATTGCCTTAATAATACTTAAGTTTGCAGTTCAGTGACATTAAGCACATTCCCACTGTTGGGCAGCCACCCCGCCCCCATCCATTCACAAAGCTTTCTCACCTTCCCAAACTGAGACTGAACACTCATGCCCCAGCTCCTGGCACCCACCTTTTACTTCCTGGCTCTATAAATCTGATCATTCTAGGTTCCCCATAGAAACGAAATCACACAGTGTTTGTCCTGTGTCTGGCTTCTCGCACTGAGCATAATATTCTCAGGGTTCATCCATGTTGAGCAGGTGTCAGGATTTTTCTTTTTGAAGGCTGAGTAATATTCCAATATGTGGATGTACCGAATTTTTGGACATATTTATCTGCCAATTAAAAACCTAAGTTAATTACTTCAAGAAAGTATTTATTTTGGAATAACTACACACTCACAAGAGGTTGACAGAATTGTATAGAAAGGTCTGTGTATCCATCCTTTACTTAGTTTTCTCAATGGTATATCTTATGTAACTGTATGACTTCCAAATCAGGAAATTTACAGTGATATGATTGACAAACCTCATTCAGACTTCAATAGCTTTTACATTCATTCGTGTGCATCTCTGTGCAATCATGTATAGATTTATGTAAACACCTGCAGAATTATAAAGCTTAAATCAATTTATTTTTAAAAAGAAACTTTGTATCTCTGCCATGAATGGCAAGTGAATAGGGCCAGCCACAAGATTGGCTTATTTAAAAAATAAGTACAGTGTAAACAGTGTCATAACATTCCACCTGGGTACTGTTACCTACCCAATGGCTTTTTATCAAATACTGGGATTAAGTGTTAAGAGGCATCAACACGTGTTAGGCACTAACTGAGCCCCTCTCCTTGAACTATTGAGAATTGAAGAGGGAGTGGATTACTCGTCGCACAGGTCAATGATTGTGAATGCAGGTCCAGAAATTGTCGTCCTAGGAAAACACTAGGAAGTGAGGAAACTGAAGCTCAGAGAGGCAAAGTGGCCCGTCCCACTCACTTGCTAGCTGCGTGACCTTGGCTAACTCGCTTAACTTCTCTGGGCTTCAGTTTTCTCCTAGTGACCTGGAGATACCTGTAGTTCTTCTCTCTTAGAGTTAAATGAGAGCATTAAATGCGATAATACTGAATGTTGAACACCTAGAAAAGAGTCGGGTGGTGGTAAGTCAGTAGGAGTGGGCCACTATTCTTATCATTCTATAAGGTCGCCTTAATGTTTAAAGTCAGCCACGATAAGAAAACTCATTACCATTCATTGTGGGGCCCACTTTGAGCCAGGCAGTGAGCTAAGCCCTTAACCCTTTTTAGCTCTGTGTGCCTTTGCAATAGTCGAGTATATCACCATCCTTTCCATAATACAAATAAATAAACTGAGGCACGGAGAGGTGAATTCACTTACCCAAGGTCACACAGCTTGGGAAGAAGAACTCAGAATTCAAACTCTTGGGTTTTTTTTTTTTTCTGACTCTAAAACCATAGCTTTCCATAACCCTTTTAAGCCAGGACCAGGGACCTGAGACCTGGGGCTCTGTAGACTCTTCCCTTCATGGGGGCTTTGAAGGTGGCCGCTGGTGGAATTTGTGACACTGTAGGCATATGAGGTCTTAACTGCCCGAGAAATGTGGCTTAAATGCAGTTGAACCTCTGATGGCACAGACAAGAAAACAGTTTCCCTGAGGAAAAATGGCCCGGAGAGTTTACCTACCCCAAGGGGGCTGAGCTGAGCTCCGGGGACGGGAGCGAGGGGGGTGGGGATGTGCGCAGTGGTTTGGCCCTGATGTGGGAAAGGACACCACAGAGCTTTGATGGTGACAAGTGGTAAAACTTAATAGTTAACAACAGCCTGGGGTCTGGACTCAGCTGGCCTGTTTTCACATCTTGGCGTTACTACTTACATGCCCCCGACAAGTGGCTTTGCTCTCTCTGCCTCAGTTTGCTCATCTGTACAGTGGGGATAGCAAGGGCACATATCTGAGTGGGGTGATGATGATGATGACTAAAATTACGGTTCTAACGCAGTCCCACTGACTCTCATTCCTAGTGGGCGAGCACGGGAGCCTCCCATCCCGCCCACCCGCTCCCTGCCTGGACGATGCCAGCCCCTCAGCTTATGCCCAGGGCAGCCACCACCGCATTGCTAGGCAGGCATGGTGCAATTGGAGAGCCGCTCAGCAGGTTTTTCCTCCCGGCGTGCTGTGGAGCACCAAGCTGTCCTCTCCCCGCCTCACCTGAGCCCAGCCCTGTTAGGCTTGCAGGCTTCTCTCTGCCAGAGGCAGCCAGAGGCAACCAGAGGGCAGCGGGCGCTGCGTCACCATGCCCAGCATCTTCGCTTACCAGAGCTCTGAGGTGGACTGGTGTGAGACCAACTTCCAGCACTCGGAGCTGGTGGCCGAGTTCTACAACACGGTGAGGGCCAGTTGGTCGGGAGCACGGGGTGGGAGTGGGGTGGCGTGGTAGAGTCTCACCAGACTTGGGTTCAAAGCCTGGCTCCTCCACGTCCTCGCTGTGGAATCCTGTTTGAGCAGTTCGCCTCTCTGAGCCTCCATTTGCTCGTGTGTCAGGCCAGGAGCAATGGCTTTCATTCATTAATTGTCTTTATTTGGCATCGGGCTATGTGGTAGGTTTTGGAAAGGCAGTAAGGACCAGAAAGAGTGCATTCACAACCCAGGGTGATGGTGCTGTAATGGGGAACACACAAACTGTGGGGGTGGGGTGTTGGTGGATCAGGGAGGGCTTCCTGGAGGAGGTGACTATGGCTGCTTTGTCCTCCGCTGTATCCCCAGCCCAGGGTGACCAACTCATTCCAGTTTGCTGGGGACTGTCTTGGTTTCAGCATTATAAGTTTCATGTCCCAGGATGCCTCTCAGTTCTGGGAATACCAGGACAGTCAGTCATCCTTCCCCTAGCCCCACACTGGAGGGGCCCCCAAATCCTGGACTCCTACATGGCAATGGCATTTCCCAAAGCCCGAAAGATATGAACAGACAAAGATATGTGTGGCCATGCTGTCCTTGTGAGGAGAGCTGGGGACACCGTGGTGAACGAGGCAGGGTGCTTGCCTACCTGGAGCCCCCGAGGTGGCGGGTGATGCGGGCCGTGTGCTTCACCCTCTGCCTTTCACACAGTAGGTGACCAACAGATGGCGAGCGATGCAGTGGCTTTTATTGAGTGCTTCCTGTGTGGCAGGCATTGCGCTAAACATTCAACACGCAAAATCTTATTTAGTCTTCACAATGACTTGGGAGTCATCCTGTATGGAGTTAATCCCATTTCCAGGTGAGGAAATGGGCCTCCAGGGAGGTCAAGGACATGTCCGGATCACCCTGGCACTTAGAGCCGGATCGGAGCCTGGGGGCCCGGGAGAGTGTTCTGGCAGGCAGCGGGGGAGACTCAGTCCCGGGAGGGTCAGTTGCTCTGACTCTCAGCTTTGACCTCACTGCTTCCCAGAACTAGGAGGCAGGATTTTGAGATTCAAGGGTAACCTGTGGTCCTTTCAGTTCTCGTTCCTCCTGGCTAGATGCTGACCCTTCTTGGTACTCAGTACCCCAACCTGAAAAATGGGAGTGGGCCGAACATGCTGGCCCCTGGAGGCACTGGAGTTCTGGGCATTCTCGAGTCTTCCTCTCTGCATTCCCTGGCAGTCCCTGTGGTCCGGAATGTTCTCTGTTCAGCCCACCTCACAGAAGGCACTGAGAGAGTGCTGGCTCAGGTGTGGGCTGTGCTTGGGTCTAGCCACGGTCTCGTGTACACTTCTCATTCCGTCCTTCTCCAGCCAGTTTCTAAATTCGGTGCGTGGAAAAACCCACAGGTGCCCTCCCTCCGAGGCTGCAGGTCTCCAATGCTTTCTTCTCACGACGTGTACGACATTTCTACACCATCCTCACCTAGTGCCTGCATTTCCAGATACTTATCAAACAAAAACAAATGTTTCACAGAGCAAAACTTACCTTTTCCTGGTGGGAACACACCTGGGTATTTTTACTTCTACCAAAAAGGCTCTGGCAAACTATGTTGAGGTCCAATGAATTGAGTTGTGCCATAAAGGGTTCCCCCAAAACACTTCTGAGTGTCTCAAACCCATCCTCATAGCTGATAAATCACACAGTCCGGGGCATGGGAAACTTCTGTTGGGAAGGCAGGATAGCTGGTATTTTTGGCTTTGGGAGCCATACAATCTCTGCAGAAATGACTCAGCTTTGCTACTGCAGCTGGGAAGCAGCTACAGGCCCAGTGTCAACAGCAAGTCCAGCTGGGTACCGATACAAGTTCATCCGTGGGCGCCAAGGTGTGAATTCCATACAACTTTCATGTGCTCTGAAACACCGTTTTCTTCTTTTAATTTTTTGACCTTTTAAAAATGTCAACATTATTCTTAGCTCATCGACCACACAAAACAAGACAGTGGGCTGTAGTTCACCAACCTCTGATACAGTTTTATATAATAATATATGTATATATCCATCCATATATACATACAGTCACACAGAAAACAAGATTTTTTTTTAAAGACTTTACTTCTCTATTTGTAGGGAGAGGGTAAGGGAGGGAGTGAGGGAGGGAGAGAGACATTGATGTGTGAGAGAAGCACCCATAGGTTGCCTCTCGCACGCCCCCAGCTGGGGCCTGGCCTGCATCCTAGGCACGTGCCTTGCTTGGGAATCGAACTGGCGAACTTTTGCTTTACAAGACGGTGCCCAATCCACTGAGTCACACCAGTCAGAGTGAAAACGAGATTTTTTTTCTTTTTTGGCCTCTCAAAAATGAGTTTATTTCATAGTGAATGTGGGCACACTCATATTTTGTAGCTTCCTGTGGGAAGCTGACGACTTGTGTTGAGACATGAATTTACAAATAACCCCGCCCCCCTTGGTGCCGAATCACACCTCTAGGAACTTTAACCAAAGAGGTAATCTCAACAGATGGTGAGATTAAATATGAGGTATCTCTGCGTCACTGCAGTTGCAATAAGTAACTGGATAAATAAAAAAGAAGCCATAATATTTTTACCACTTTGTGTAGGGCTGGATACATTCTGCTGAACTATTATGTGGCTATTTATAAGAATGTTTTTGAGCTAGGTATGTAAATTAAGGACACAATACATAGCTGAAATATTTTTAAAATATTTATTTATTTGTAGAGAGAGGGCAAGGGAGAGAGGGAAACACCAATGTGTGGTTGTCTCTTGAGCGCCCCCTAGCCCCGCCCCGCCAACCCCAGGAACCTGACCCAAAACTCAGGCATGTGCCCTAATTCAGAATTGAACTGGTGACCTTTCAGCTTGCAGGACGACGTCCAACCCACTGAGCCACACCAGTCAGGGTCATAGCAGAAATTAAAAAAAAAAAATTGTTCATATGAACTTCATCACTATCCACTTAGAATTCACAACTCATAATTGGAAAATGCTGATCCCTAAAGAATATTTTGCTTTCTCATTGCTCTGCTTTCAAGGAGCTCTGAGCCTGAGGTGGGGAGAGCCCAGCCCCACGCGGCCAGGGCATGGAGAAAGGAAGCGCTAGAGCACTCAGTCCAAGCGATGGGAGGCTTCAGAAAGGAGTTGGGGTTTGAAAAGATGCACAGGAGCTCGCCAAGTGGGGTAGGAGCCTGGAAAAAGAGAACAGAAGAGAGAAAAAGAACGGACTAGTCCTGGAAGTAAAGAGGGGCCGGCCAGTTCGGGAAAGGGAAAGGGGTGTTTCTGTGGCTAGTCTGCGGGCAGAGATGAAGACGAGTGCTTTGCCGAGTGCTCCCTCTGAGATGCTTGGATATAGAACAAAGGGATGGCGTGGCTGGTGTGGGAAGTACATAGGCAAAGGCCGGGAGGTGGGGGTGAGTAGGACTGGGAGGGGTGGGTAAGAGTCTGGGGGGACCAAAGAGGGAAAGTGTGTAGGAGGGTGTAGGTTACAATGCCTGCCCCTCCAACAGCCTTCCCACCTGCTCTTCCAATGGAGCCTTCCCTGCAGCTGGTCTCCGCCACGTGACGATTCCTGTCCCTGTCTTCCCTGACTGCTGGGTGACTCAGGCAGGAGACCTGTCCCCTCTCTGAGCCCCTAGCTGTGACTGGCAGGTCCCATGAACTCTAAAGCACACCTCCCTTCTCTGCCTTTTTTCCTCATCAACACTCACAGCAAAAGCAATTAATTTTGGGCGCCTCCGGTCTGCCAGTCCCCACAGAAAACCAAGAGGGCATGGTCCCTGCCCTCAGGGAGTGCAGACATCGTTAATGGACTAATTAATTACATACACAGAGCTGGTGATCGGGCTTGTGACACATCCCAGGCCCAACTGGATTTGTCCCTCTGGGCCCCTCTCCTCCTTCAGAAAAACAGACATTTATGATCCCCCACCCTTCTGGCCTCCTGCAGGGAGGGACTCTGATTCGAGGGGACAACAGCCCCTCATTTTGCTTCTTATTCAATAAGAATTGACTGATCTGGGCACTGTTTCAGGCTCTGGGGACACAGTGGTGATCAAAGCAGACAGTAATGCCTGTTCTGGGGGATGAGGGACACAGACAATCTACAGAAGTCAAGGGTACAGAATGGTGGTTGGTATGTGCTAGGGAAGGAAATCTCATTCATTCATTTACTCAGCAAATGCTTACTGAGCACACACTCAAAGAGGGGGCCACTGTGGGGTGCTGACGGCACGTAATTCATAGAGCCATGGAGAGGATGAAGCGAGGACTAGACAACCTAAACATCCACCAGCTGGTGATGGACAAGCACACTGGTCTGTCCACACCGTGGAGTACTACTCAGCCGTGAAAAGGAGTGAAGCTCTGACACATGATGGACCTGGAACACATGATGCTCAGGGAGAGGAGCCAGACACAGAAGGCCACACGGCATATGATTCATGTATGTGACATGTCCAGGACAGGCACGTCCACAGACAGAAAGTGGGTTAGTGGGTTCAGGGGCTGGGGGAGGGGGTGGGGAGTGACTGCTCATGGGGACAGGGATTCTTTTTTGGAGTTGTGGAGTGTTCTGAAATTAGATAGTGATAATAGTTGCACAACCTTGTGAATAGACTAAGATCCACTGATGCGTACACTTTAAAAGAATGAATTTGACAGTGTGTGAATTATATATCAATTTAAAAACAAATATTGATGTTTAAAAACCTCACAGCTCTTTGCACATCCTAAGCATTAAATAAACTGAAGCTGTTATTATTTCAAGTAAGCACAGCACAGAGATGAAAAAGTGTCAATGTGTTAATCACAGTTGATGTTAATTAATTTTATTTAATCTCCATAGCAATTCTATGAAGTAGGTACTCTTATTCTCCCATTTTGTAGATGGGTAAATAAAGACTCAGAGAGGTTGTGTTTCCTTCCCGGGGTTGCACAGCATGTAATTGCCAGGGCACAAAAGTTGCAAGTGCTGGTAGTTCCAGTGTGAAGCCCAGGCCACCTTGTCCCAGAGTCTCTCGCTTAACCACTGAGTCATTAACTTGTTGTGTGCATCTAACTCAGGCAAGTAAGTCCCATGCAGGGAGGAATTAAGGCTGTGGCTGGTGCTATTGCACAGCCCAGCCCCACCATTTGTGCTCATCTGTTAAGTGGATGCACACGGAGGTCCTGGACAAGCAAAGCAGTCTTGGCCATATTCATTGATCTGATTGATTCAACAAACTGCTTGAGTGTCTATTTGGTGCCAGCATGATAGGTGTTGGGGACGCAGCTGAGGATAAAACAGGTATTTCTTGTTCCTCATGGAAGTGGAAGTCACAGTCCAGTGGGGAGGGCACAGACCGGAAAGGAGGGGAGAATAAATCAATGGGCTCCAGGTGATGGGGTGGGGCGGGGTGGTCACGGGGGCTGTGGGTTCAGCCCAGGGTGATCGGGTAAGTGAGACAGGGGATTCCCCTCTGCTTCTTCCCGAGGCTGAGGCAGGGAGTCAATTCAGGGAGTCAATTCAGGTCAGCCTCTCCCTCCCTCATTCTCTCCCTTCCCTTCCTCCCTTTCTCTTCCCCTTCTTCTCCCACGTCTCTCTTCCCTCTTTCTTACTTCTTTCCCTCCCTTTCTCCTTCCTCCCTCCCTGATCTTTCCTTTCCTTCTTCCAGACCTGAAGTAACCAGCCACATCTATTTACCAGACACCCTGCTGGGAACTGTTAATAAAAAAGCAAAACAGTTGTACACAGATACTAGAATAACAGCAAAACAGTTGTACACAGCTGTTCCAGCTCCCGTGCCAGGCACTGCATGCACTGTTCACAGGTATCTTGGCATGTGTTATTGTTTACAAAAATTCGCTGAGTACCTACTGGATGCCAGGCACTGTTCTAGACACTGCGATGTTCGCAGCAGTGAACAAACCAGACAAACCCCCAGCCCTAGGCTGCTTTGTGCTTTAATTCTCACCATGGTGCTCAGAGGTAGAAGAGGAAATTGGGGCACAGAATGTCCTCAAACCCTGACTGGATATACATCGTGAAGGCAGGGACTTTGTTTTCAGGCCCTGCTAAGGTCCTTGAGCACACAGTAGTTACTGGAGGAGTGGTTGTTGAGTGACTGAGTGAGTGGGTGAATGTATGAGGCGCCTGATGGGGCTTGGGCCCAGGGAGGCCAGCCCAGGTGTGTCTAGAGCTGAGGGCTGGGCTGGCTCTGGACATGATTCCAGATGGTGCCTTTCCTGCCTCACCGAATCCGGGTGGGGCCCACGGTTGGGAAACCCGGTAGCCCAGCCCCAGAGGACAGGGAGGAGACCCTGGTATCTTCTCTGATGCTATCAGAGACTCTGGAGCCAGTTGTCGCCCATTAGTCATAGGCTCCCTCCGCCTGGTGTTCTGCCCCCATTCTGCACTCCTGGCTCAGCTCTGCTAGCCTCTGAGGCAACTGTAAGACTCAGATAATAATAAGACTGTTGCTATTATTATCTCCCCAACAACAACAGCAGCAGCAGCCCTTGCTTTCATTGAATCAGGGAAGCTCCCTCTTCATCACTGCCACCTTGTTTAGTCTTCCTGTCTTCTAAGGCAGGGGACAAATCAATCTTCGAGTCTTCCAGAGCTGTGCAACCTCAGAGAAGTCACTCCACCTCTCTGAGATTCAATTTTCTTATTGCCAAACAAGCACTAGAATGCTGGACTCGGTGGGTATGTGGGTGTGTGCAAGGATTAAAAACAACCTGAATTTGTTTTGAGATCTAGTCAACAAGAAATATTTATTGATTACCTACTATATTCTGGTTCCTGAGCTTACAATGCAAAGTGGAGAAGACATAGTCCATGTGCACAAAGCCAGGTTTGGCGGGAGAGCCAGGCAGTTCCAGAGTGCTAGACAAGTGTGAGCAAGGGGGGCGGCATTGGGCACAAATGAAGGCCACCTAACCCTGCCTTGGGGGATTGGGAAATCTTTAGAGCAAAGTGAAACCCAGGTGACAGATGAAGGAGCAGTTGGCCTGGCAAGGAGGGGTGAGTGGAGAGTCAAGTGTTCCAGGAAGTGGGAACAGCACATGCAAACTCCAGGAGGTAGGAGGTAAGAGTAAGTATGGCTTATCTGAAGGAACTGAGCTATTCCTTCTGTTGGGATTTAAAGTGAAAGGTGGAGAGAGGCGAGTGTGATGGAGGGAGCTTATAAGCAAAGTTTTAAGAGCTTGGATTTTACTTGTGGGAGTCACGGACGTGACTGATTTATTGACTGACTGATTGAATTTGAATCTTGGGCTTGGGCATAGTTGTTCCCATTCATGCCCAAAGTTGTCCCCTGAAAAGATTGTTCATTCAAGGGTCAGAGCTATTCTGGCTTCTGCTTTTTCTTGTTTCTGCATTTCCTTCCATTAATGAGCTCCACATATTAAAGGAAGGAAGGGAGGAAGGAAGGAAGGAAATATGCACACACACACATCACATAATATCATATTTACAGTGTAAGTTCACCAGAATCATTTTCTGTTGCATACTACAGAAGCAGCATAGCTAATAGACTAATGGTGATGGTTTTGTTGCAGTCAAGCAGTAGATAGCTGGCTTAAGCAAAAAAAACAAAACCAAAGAAAGAGAAAGTCAGAGAGAGAGAGAGAGTGCATTATAAAAATACTGAAATATTTTAGAAAATGGAAAGACCAGTTGCCTAGGAGGGCTGGGGCCGAGTGCAGGTCTGGAGGGTTCAGCTGAAGGGGAAGAACTGACCTTGAGTGTTGGTGTTTTATCCTCAGCCTCATCTCTTCAGGGTGGCAAGATGACATCTTAAACATCATGGCCGTATCAGAGGCCTCACCAGAGGGTTGCCAACTGTGCGACTCCATTCTGGTAACTTCCAGGTTCTGTGTCTGCTTCGAGTTTTAAATCTCCAAAAGAGAAAATCTGATTGGCTCGGTTTGGGTTCGGGTCTCCTCCCGTGGGGTGGGGCCTCATGATACAGGCAGGGCAAATGTGTGTGTGTGTGGGGGGGGGGTGCCTCTCTGTTCTAGGGCAGCCGTGTGAACTGGCGACTGTCCCAGAGATGTGTTTGACCTTGTCCATTGATATGCACATGAGAATGTGGCATCGAAAACAAGGACTGGGTGGAACCATGGGCTGGAACCAACAGCCTGGAAACCAGTTTGCCAAGGCTAGGTCCTCAAATTGTGACCTTTGAGCTGGTTCTACCACGGTCCAAGGAGAGTCGTGGGCTTCCCCAGAATCAGGACAGGTTTCCAGGACATAGACTCATAGATGGCCATGTTGTATCATGTGAATGATTTCCCCACGTCCACCACTGTGCTCTGTAATCTTGAGTCAGCATCCTTAAAATCAGGGTTCTGAAAAAAATGACAGAGCACCCTAGTTAACAGGGCACAATTCCTTCACTAAGATGGGACACATACAATTGAGAAGACCTTTACAAGAGGAAGATTTTGGGGGGAGGAAAGGGTGTGATTGAGCAAGCTGGTAAGCTGGCTAGCTGAACTTGGCAGGTCATGAAGACCATAAGAATACTTGTTTCTGAGCTCATGTGTGAAACTCACCATGACCATGACCTTGACATACCTGGGGGAGACTTTGAGGACATTGAAGTTCATTGTTAGAGTTAGGGACTTTGAGCCACTGAAATTCTGGTGCAAATGTTCTTGTGACTTTAATTGTACTCAGAGGTTAGTGAGGCCTGGGGTCTTTTGGGTCAACAGCAGGAAAACAGTTGACTTCATGCATATGTCACAGATCTTTTATCAAGTTTCTTGGTTCTTTTCATTTTTCTCTTCTGATATCCCTAGAGACATGGTTCTTAAAATTTTGTCCAGGGACCTCTGGGGTCCCTGAGGCCCTTTCAGAAACTCCTTGAGGTGTAAATTTTTTCATAATAGCGTGAAGATATTATCTGCCTTTATTTCTCTCTGATTATCTCACAAGGATACGATGGAACCTTTCAGTGGCTGGATGACGTGTGATGACGCTGTTTCTGTGACGGCCAACGGAGTGTGTACTTGCGTAGTGGTGTATTTTGAAATATTCTTGGACTTAATTTATAATACACTCAATCTTGATAGATACAGCCCACATAAACAAAAGGTCTTTGAGGTTCTCGATAATATTTAAGAATATAAGAGGGTCTTGACACCAAGAAGTTTGAGAAACACTGTTCTCAAGTGTCTGTCTTCACTTTCAGCCTAGTTTCCTCATGGTTGTCAAATAGCTGCCGCCTCTCAAACATCACAGTAATTTCCAAAGGCCTTTTCACTGGGCCCGATTTCAGTAAAAAGAACTTTCCCAGAAGTCCCTCGTCAGACCCTCCATCATGTTTCATGGCCAGAGAATGTCACACATTCATTCCTCACCCAGCCATTGCCAAGGGGAATGACTCATGCCCTGGCGAAAAGTCCTGCTTCCCTGAAAGCCATGTCCTCCGATGCTTGAACATAATTTTGGTTTATAGATTGGGTTTAAGGAAGAAAGGTGGTACACATAACTTCAGATACAGGTTCAGCTGCATTTTGGTCCACAGGAAGTGGAATGCAAGCTTTAAGCTGCTTATCAAGAACTGACCTGAAAGTAATAGACTTATCTGCATTTCTGCCCCATTGGCTACACTATGTCACAAGGGCATGGCGTATTGCAAGGAAGGCTGGAAGGTATAGTCTTTAGCTGAGTAGCTCTGTGGCTAGCTAACATTTGGGAAATATTACTGGTATTTTTATAAGGAAAAGGGGGCGAATGTAGGTAGAATGTTAGTAGATAGTTTTTGCTAAGCTCATTGAATGAATGAATGAATGAATGAATGAGTGAACCCGTAGGGTAAGGGATGGAGTTACGGATGACTGTTAAGATCAGCTGAAAAGACTGACAAACTCTGGATTGATGCATTGCCTGGAAGGAGACAGGTGGCTCTAGTGGCTAATGACTGAGGGCTTGGACACAAGGGCAGCCCTCCTCTGCCTGCCCTGTCTGACACCCCCTCCCCATATCCTCCTTTTCTGCAGTTCAGCAATGTCACCTTCCTCATCTTTGGGCCTCTCATGATGTTCCTGATGCACCCCTATGCCCAGAAACGCTCCCGCTACACCTATGGCATCTGTGTTCTCTTCATGGTCATAGGTAGGTAAGGGTCTGGACAGCGGGGCACTGGGAACGGGAAGGGACACCGCCTTGACCACCTGCCTTTGTCTCTTGCTCCAGGCCTGTTCTCCATGTACTTCCACATGACACTCAGCTTCCTGGGCCAGCTGCTAGACGAGATCTCTATTCTGTGGCTGCTGGCCAGTGGCTACAGCATATGGATGCCCCGCTGCTACTTCCCCACCTTCCTAAGGGAAAACAGGTGCGGTGGGGGCTGGCTCTCTGGTGATCCTGTTACAACCCCCCTGGGCTCCTGGCTCCCCTCCCTGAGCCCCCTTGTGGTCCTCGAAATCCCTTCCCTGACTACACCAGGACTTTCTCCTAACCCTGCCTGACTTAACTGGGATCCCAGGGTCCTCTTTTCTCAATACAGTACTTGGAACTCCTAGAATTCCTCCCCAGATAGCATGGGACCTTCTCTGGACGCTGTCTGAGCTCACCTGGGGGCCCCGGGACCTCATGCCTATGCTTACCTGGACCCCAGGGACCTATCCCCCTGGGCCTATCGACTGGACTCCCTGAAATATTTTATATGGTCCTCCTAGGCCCCCCTTTTGAACTGCGAGCCCTCCGAAATTCTCTCCTGACCTTACTTGACTCTTCTGAGCCTTCCAAGACCCTTCAAGTGGTAGCTTCTGGGACCCCTGCATTTCCTTCCTTAATCCCACCTGGGCTCTCCCTCAATCTCTTGCCTGACCTCACCTGGGCCCTGGCACCCTTCACTGACTCATCTGGGCCTGGGGTCCTCTGCTGAGCCCACCTGGAAGCTTCAAGACTTCTCTGAGCCCATTTGGGCTCCTTTGAACTCCTTCCCTTTTCTCACCCACCTCTGCCACAAGATCTTCATGCGACCCTGCCTAACCCCCTCCCTAGGACCCTCCCTAGCCACCCCCACAGTGAGCCTTCTGCCCCCAGGACCCAGTTTGTCTGTCTCGTCTTCATCACCACCATGGTCAGTACCTTCCTGTCCTTCCTGAGGCCTACGGTCAACGCGTATGCCCTCAACAGCATCGCCCTGCACATCCTCTACATCGTGTTCCAGGAGTACAAGAAGTGGGTAGTGGCTGCAGGCTCGGGGCCGGGGGGCGGGTGGGGGGCTCCCACCCTCCGGGCAGGACCGCCCTCTCACCCCACCCCTCCTCCCATACTCACCAGGCACAGAGTTCTTATTAACTCTGTGCTCAGCATCATCCACAAACAAAGGGCAGGGCCAAAATCTGAACCTACGGTTGTCTGACTGCAGAGCTTGCCTTTTATTGTGAAGCCCCCAACATGTGCATAGAGAGAGTTGCACCGTCAGCCTCCGTTTGCCCACTAACCAGCCCTGATAACCATCAACATTTTACCAGCTTGCCTTATTTATTCCCCCACAGATTTCACATTGTGGCACCCATTAATTTCTCAGGATTTCATTCTCCCGATAATTATTATTTATTGAACCCATACTAGGTCTTAGTAGGATAGAGAGGGGACTCTTGAAAGCGGCCATTTGGAGAGAGTTGAATCAAAGGGTTATTTACAAAGGAGAGGGCAGGGTATAAAAAAATCACTACGGGTCATTTAAAACTCCCGTGGTAATAAGAGGGTGACTCTCTGACCTGCAGGAGACCTGGGGCGAGAGGTGAAGGGAGGGAGTGATTGCAAGGGTCCGGGAGCAGAGAGCCTGCGAGGCCTCCTCAGGAAGAGCTGTCCCCTCCGGTAGCTGCCTGCGCGGACCCTGTGCAGAGGGAGCTCTGAAAAAAAATCTAACGGGACCCTCCCTCACCTTCTGGTTTCCTGTCAGGGCTCCCCGTTGGCCAAACCAACTGGAAGCCCAACGACTAGCGAGACTCTAGACTGGGTCCGCACAGCCCAGCACTGCCCACACCCCTTCTCCCAGGTCACGGGGCAGAGTGAAGAAGGGCAGGGAAGAATCCGGAGGGACATATGGAAGACGTGGCACATGCACTTCTATCAAAGTTAACGATACCTCCTTAAAATAGTTCCTAATACTGAGTTCTCATTGGCATCTGCTCGGCTTCTCACAGATGCCTTCTTACACCTGCTCTTAATTCAGTCGGGATCCAAACCCATCCCTTGGGTCTTCATAACAGTCCTCCCCCCTCCCTTTGCTCACATCTGTTGGCAACACACATTTGGTCATTTGTCCGGTAGCACGTCCCACATTCTGGATTTGACCGACTGCTTCCTATGGCATCTGTCAACATGTCTCCTTCATTTTTTATTTCCTGCAAATCAATAGTTCGATCCAGATTTAGGTTTAATTTTTTAGGCCACGACACTTCATGTGTGGTGCTGGGTGCTTCTTGCTCCACCCCTTTAAGACCACAGATAGAGGGGTTGGCCCACAGAGGGTGCTGTTGAGGTCGACCAGAGGTCTTGAATGATGTCACCTGTACCTTTAGTAGAGAAGTTTTCCACTGACCTGTCACCGAATGGCTTCAGCAGCCACCCAGGCCCCTGCCTCTGTCCACAATCTCATTAGGGGGCCGGAAAGGGGGCAGACTCTGTTATTCCCTCTGCGTGGACCAGCTGGAGTTCTCCCATCAGGGACTTCCACCCATCAACCTTGAGATAGAGTTTGAACAGGAGAGACCATTGAGCCTTCCCCATTATCTATGAGGGTGATGATTTGGTGCCTCGGTTATTGCCGGTAGAGACCAATGCGGTTGGTTTTGTTTCTAAGTATTGTGATGACCTCAAGGATGTTTACATTTCTGGTGTTTTGACCCATTTGGGTCACTGTGCTACATTTTTAACTTTTTATTTCGAAATAGTTACAGACTCATAGCGAGTTGCAGAAACAGTGCGGAGATTGTCCCCCAGGCACCCCGCTCCCCTCCAGCGGCGGCGTCCTGGGTGACCACAGTACAGCCTCCAGAGGGGGAAGTCAACTGCCAACTAGACCAGACTTCATTCACATTTTACCTGCTCTTACCCGTTATGCGTTCTCTGTTGTCCAAACGGTCTCATTCTAGGCCAGTGGGCAGGGCCTCTGCTTTTAACCATAGAGGAGTTACTGCCCTCTGTGATCTCAGTGTGCTGTTCCCTAAGGGACTCTGGGTCAGCTCTGCCACTGGGGAAATGCGGATTAAATCTGTGATCCTGAGTTGTCCCAAGACCTGGCTGTCAGAGAATCACCCTCCCACATACACACACACACACACACACACATTCTCATAGCCACACAGACAAGGAATTTCAAGCAGTGACTCACAGGTACATACACCCACACACCCAAACACACAAACGCGGAAGGGCTTGTTGATTAAGAGGTCTACAATCTGACAACCCTGGTTCAAACCCCAGCTCTGCCCGTTATTAGCTGTGTAACTTTGGGTGGGGGGGCTTTGGGACATAATCTTATGGGTCTCAGGTTTCTCATCTGCAAAATGGGAATATTAACATTGTCGTGAGGACTGAGTTGCTACTTAAGGACTTGTACACTGTACCTGGCATCCTGTAAGTACTGTACTCTGCAAATGTTAGCCATAAGCTCAGTGAGGCCCCTCTCCCTGGCACCCTGGACCCTTCCCTCTTCCCGGCATCTGCTTGGTGGAGGAATTTATATGCAGCCCCTGCAAGCTTTGCTCTCTGAGTCAGGCCCTCATCTCCCCTCTACCCTTCCTAGGACCAATAATAAGGAGCTTCGACATGTCATTGAGGTCTCCGTGGTTTTGTGGGCTTTTGCATTGGCCAGCTGGATCAGTGACCGCTTCCTTTGCAGTTTTTGGCAAAAGATTAATTTCTTCTACCTGCACAGCATCTGGTAAGCACCTACTCTGTGCTCGGGGGCCGCAGAACCAGAAAATCTCAGATATCAGGCTTGGGAGCAGCAGCCTGGGGACATAGAGGGAAGGCACAGATACTGGGTATTGAATGTTTGAGGGGCAACCGGCTGCAATCAGGAAGTCAGTTCCAGAAGGTTCCTTTGGGAGGTAAAGATTCGTGAGAAGTAAGAAGAGAACTCAGGTGGGGCTGGGGACGCCTAGCTGGCTGCAGGAGCATCCTGTACCCTCACTACCCTCTCCTTGCGTCCTACAGGCACGTGCTCATCAGCATCACCTTCCCTTATGGCATGGTCACCATGGCCTTGGTGGATGCCAGGTATGAGATGCCAGACCAAACTCTCAAAGTCCGCTACTGGCCTCGGGACACTTGGCCTGTGGGGCTACCCTACGTGGAAATCACTGGTGACCGCAAGAACTGCTAAAGTCTGCTTGTTTCTTGACTCCCCAACCACCTGCCAACTCACCTGTGTGTCAAGGAGAGTGGCTTGGATCAGGAGTCCGAGGGACACAGTTCCTTCCTCCAGCTCCCCTTCCCGTCCTCCTTGTCCTGCATGGCTCCACCCCAAGGCAGGGGATGGGCTTTGTGACTTCTCTGTGCAGAAGTCTGATGACCCTGCAGGGCTGCCGGGCACAGCTCCCCTCCGTGACCTGCGCCTGTTGTCTTTCGTTTCCTCCCTGTGCTCACTGCTTCCCTGTTGTCATATAACCTGGTGGGGCTGGGTCACCAGCTGCTGTGATTATGTGGCATCAACTGGGAAGGACCTCAGGCTGCGTCTTGGTTCACATGCACCTGACTGATAGTGGCGGTCACTACCAGACTCTGGACCTGTCTTTGGCCATGCAATATCTCTGGTACTTAGGGGCCATCCCTGAGAATGGACATGTGTTCTAGTCATTAAGTTATACCCTCATGCATGCATGCAGAGACCTTGTAGGCCACATGTGGACTTCTGTGGCCATCTCATCAGCTGACAGTGAAGCGGCATGGACACCTGGATGGGCAATGTGGGCACTGTTGGGCACGGGAGCATCAGAATGGAGCCGGGGCAGCCAGTAGAGGGGAGGGACGGGGAGAAATGTGGGGAGGATGTTTTTCACTGTGGTTAAGAGCACAGGGTTTGGAGTCAGGAGACCTAAGTTTGAATCTTGCTCCACCACTTCCTAGTTATATAATTTCGGGGAAGTGATTTTTTTACTACCTATAAAGCTCAAACACCTTGCCTGTAAAAGGGAAATATTCTTTCCTTTATGGAAATTGTGTGGCTAAAACAATATAATGTATGTAAAGTGCTTAGCATGGAGTCTGGTCAACATCTGTCCACCCGCTCATCCTTTAATTTATTCATCCATCTATCCATTGAGTCATTCGTTGAAACATCCATTCATCTCTTCATTTATCCGTTTATCCATCCATCCCTCACCTATTATCCTTCCATTTATCTGTTTAACTGACTGTTATTTATACCTCATCCTCCATTAATCCATTCATTTATGGTTAGCCATCCATTTTCTTCATTTACCCATCAGAATTATTTAATCATCCTTCCACCCATCTATTTATCCAATTATTTATTCGTTATCCATCCATCCACACTTAGTCATCTAGTTATCTGTTTATCCATCCAAACCATTCTGTCATTCTTCCGGTCATCCCACTTATTCATTCATTCACTCGTTTATCTCTTCAGCAAATATATATTGTCTACTGTGTGTCTTAAAGCAGCCCCTGGGAACACAAGACAACAAAGACATGCAAAGCCCCTGCCCTGATGAGGAGACACACATTAGACAAAAAAGACACACCATCATGGCAACTCCAGGCACTGACTGATGAGTCTGCCTAAAAGGTAGAGAGAGCATGGTGATGTTCTAGAGAATCACGGGGTGGTGGAGCAGCCCTTGTAAATGGAAAGTGAATGGAGATTGCACTTTCCAGGTGAGACCTCAATGATGAGAGCAACCATAACAAGAGCTGGGCAACCAACCATAACAAGAGCTGGGCAAGATCGTTCTGGGCAGAGGAAATGGCAGGTGTGAGACTCCTGGGATGGGAATGCATCGGAGCAACAAAAAGAAAGCTGTTGTCAGAGCTTAGTAACCAAAGGAGAGTGCAGAGTAAGAGGTCCTTAACCTGGGGACCCTGGGTGCATTTTAGCAGGCATGGACCAATTTGATATTCTCTGCAAAAGATGGATGTTGGGGCATATTGTCTGGGCCCTACAAATGCCTCACTCCAAACAGAGCAGAAGCAAGTCCATCTGGCTCCTCGGAGAGATTGGGACATTAAAAGGGAAGGGCCACTCACATTCATTGAGTGGCTGCCATGTGCTCTATGCTCATTGGATCTAATACTCCCCCCTCACCGCGCCCCCACTCCTCCTGATAGAGAGGAATATTCTCATTTTATGGAGTTGGCTCAAACAGGGCAAGCAACTTGCTGTGGGCCACGCCTCCTGATATGATCCAGCAATTTCACTTCTAGGTATATACCCTAAAAGAGTTGAAAACAGCTAATCAGAAAAATACTTGTACAGATATGTTCATAGAAACCCTACTGATAAGAGCCAAAGAGCGGAACACAACATAAAGGCCCCACAACGAAGAGCAGGTAAACCAATGAGGTGCATCATCCAATGGAACAGTATTCTGCTGTAAGGAGGGGCGGGACACTGACACGCACTACAACATGAATGAGCCTTGGAAATGTGATGAGAAGCCAGACACAAAAGGCCACCCGCGGTACGATTCCACTTATATGTCCAGAAATAGACAAATTCACAGAGACGGAAAGCAGATTAGTGGTTATCAGGGACTGAGAAGAGGGAGTGGGGAGTGACTGCTGAAAGGTGTAGGATTTCCTCTTGGGGTGAAGAATATGTTTTGGAACTAGACATCGGTGGAGGCTGCACAACAGTGTGAATGTTCTAGATGTCACTGACTCGTACACTTCGATATGGTTAATGGTTAGTTTTATTTTATATGATTTATACCTCAATTAAGATTTAATAAATCTCCAAGAGTCACTCTCTACTAGTCTTAGGTCTTGTCTCCCCCCCTCCCACCTCCTTCCACAAATCCAGGTGCCAGAGGGATACAGTCTTTGGATTGGCCAGACCTGGTCATGTGCTTCCTTGTGGTGGGAGATGGGGGTTAGGGATGGATGGTGAGGGGGTGAGAGCCTCACTTTGAGGGGTAAGTGGGGGCTGAACCCATTAAGCCTTGTGCTCTGTCATAAGTTGGCATTCTCCTAGAAGGGCTGCCATAGACAAGTTCATACAAAGGTAACTTACAGACTCAAAGTTGTCCTGGGAGGAGCCCCTAAATCAGAACTATTGCTGGGAAAAGGGGGGAATGATACCAAGAGAGAAAAATGGCAGTGTCCAGTGTACTGCCCTTTTTTGGGGAAATACCTTGTACATAGTTTGCGTTGGCTCCAAAACCAATTCACAGCTCCCCATAGCCTATGGGATAAAGGCCCAATGCCTCAGTGTGACTGTCAAGGTTTGCTCTGAGTTGAAGTTAATCTGGGATAGGTCTCCAGCTGGCCGGCCACTGAGCTCTGCTCCAGCTTGGTCATATTCAATATTGCCATAAGTGGCTGTGTGTATACATCTGTGGCTAGCATGAAACTGTGCTGAGTACATCTGTGGCTGGCAAGAACCTGGGAGGAACAGGGAATGTGCTGGAGGCCAGAAAGAGGATTCCCCCCAAATCTTCAGGACTGCCCCACCTACAAGGTGAATGCGAAGTCCTCCCTGTGGGTGCTAATAAACCCGACCACTAGAGGGCGATAGAGACCTAAGGTAGTAGCAGAGCAGTCTAGATAGGAAGGCATACTCCCTGTGTTCAAAATGTTACTTTTTGGCTGTGAGACTTGGGTCCACTTATATCTCTTTCTGTGTGCCAATTTCATTATTTGTAACATTGAGATAACATGTATCAATTGTGTATTCTGCCATATGCTCAAACTACCATTTGCTTTGTGTTTCTTTGCTCACATTGATGTATTTAGATAGGAAACATTGTGTCACTTCAAGAAGTCATTTGTCACAGATCCAGAATAACCATAAAATTAGATACAGTAACAATGAAAAGTGCCATTAACTGCAATTTAGTGATTCTTAAGCCAGTCTGCACATTAGAATTTCCATCTGAACTTTTAAAAAGTGGCTCTTTGCAACAGTTGTAGCCTAAAGATTCTTCACTGCAAGCTTCCTGAAGAGACAAATTGCTCCCCTCCCCACTTTTCGTCTAACTGGGGCAGTGGTTTTGAAAGTTGAGTAAGTCTCAGAATCACCTATAGAATTGGTTAAACCAAACCTCTGGATGCTGCCACACACACAGAATTTCTGATTCCATAAATATAGGGAGACTAGAACTGGCATTTCTAATAAAGTTCCCAGATGATGCAGAGCCTGCTGTTTCAAGGACCACTGATCTACTCGCATCCAGTTAAAGGATTTTGAAATATTAAAGTTGTATCAACACGGACATAGCTGCTTTTTTCTCAGCATAATCTCCATTCCACCCACCCACAGCACATCCTGTCGTAGAAAGTACAGTGCTGTTATGATAGCAATCTGCTCTTCAGAGTTTTTGTCTGGACTTACTGACAATCCACAGTTACTGATTCTCCGGTGCTGTTCTTCAGCACAAAGTACCAGCCGCACCACCTAATGAATACTTGACTGCCACTTAAATGAGAAGTGGAAGGGAAAAACCACACACATAAGATCCAAAACCGATTTTTATTTTAAATAACTGCACAAGGCTCCCCAAATTGCAGGCAGGAGTCCTAATGTTCAAGAGACAAAGGGCTTACAAGATCTCGAAAAAGATGGAGGGATGTGCCTAAATCCGATTTAAATATAGTTTGTTTTAAAATACTTTTTACATTTACTTTTAAAAGATTTTATTTATTTTTAGAAAGAGGAGAAGGGAGGGAGAAAGAGAAAGAGAGAAACATCGATCAGTTGTCTCTCACACAGCCCCAACTGGGGCACTGGTCTGCAACCCAAGCATGTGCCCTGACTGGGAATTGAACAGGGAACCTTTTGGTTCTCAGGCTAACACTCAATCCACTGAACCACACCAGCCAGGGCTATTTTTTAACTTTTGATTTTAGAGACAGGGGAAGGGGGGGGAGAGAGAGAGAGAGAGAGAGAGAGAGAGAGAGAGAGAGACATCCACCAGTTGCCTCTGGTTCACACCCCCATGGTGGTGGGAATGGAACCCTCAAACCAGGTATGTGCCCTCACCAGTGATGGAACCTGAAACCTTTTGGTGTACAGGGCAGGGCAAAGTTCCAACCAACTGAGCCACTCCTTCAGGGCACCTAAATATAGTTTACAAGTCGCTGTGGACTTACAGGATCATGGGTAAATTCAAAATTGTTTTTTGGAAGGTTTGGCATAAATTTTGG